GCTGCCCGATACCGTGCCGCTCATCAGATGCCCTAGCGGCTCCGTAACTGAATCACGGGAAACATCGGTCAGCGGTAAGGGCCGGGCACGGAGGGGAGCGCAGCGCGAGAGTGGCTAACGGTCCGCGGTGGAGAGAGAGGAAAGGAGGAGGGGAGGGACAGAGAGAGGAGCACCAAACAGAGGACGCAAGCAGGTCAGGCTGGGATCAGCTGCTCCCGTCCAGGAAAAGGAAAGATGGAATCGGGCGGGTTTTTACTCCAGAAAACGAGATTTAGAGAGCATGTGAAACATGAATCTTTCAGCTCAGTAGCAGCAGTTACTGTCAAGAACCGTTTCCAAGCGCACCTACGAGTACAGAGCAAACCCGAACTCTTGAAGCAAGCAGCCGTTATCATCGCAATTTTTCCTTCTGATAAAAAGAGCGCCATCCCCAACAGACCATTCAACATAGCGACGGTTTTAAATATCACAGAAAAATGACTTCAGCTTATGTGGTAGCTTTTGAACAAACGTCCGTTCGTTCCTCCGCAAGTCCCGGACATCGCCCAGTCTTGACATCACCACGCTGACCGTTGCGGAGTGCTGCGCCATGAGCCGCTCGGCCCCGGAGGGCCGCGCTCCGCCCTCTGCCGCGTGACGCTGCATCACGCCAGTCACGCTGACGTCGAGTCGTGCGCGGCGGCGGGGGCCGCGGAGCAACGGCCGCGCGTCGGGGCGCCGCCGCCGCCGGCCGCACGTGGCTGCGGCGCGCCTGCGTGGGGCGGCGCCGGCAGGCAGGGCCGACCTTGGCGTCAGGGGCCTTCTCAGGCATCCCGGAACGAGCCGAGAGGCGCCGCCGCTCGCTGATGGCTCGCCTTGTCTCGAGGTCACCACAAAACAGTGGCTCTTTCGAGCGACGAACTTTGTGACTCACAATCCCGCCTAGCGCAATGATCTCACTCAGCACGACCCTGGCATTGCCTCCCTCCTACACCAAGCCTATGTCAGCTCCAACGTCACCAGTGATGGACGCGGTGCCGCGTACCCAGTCCATTGACTCTGAGATCGTGCGACGACCTCTGAGGCCCGGCAGCACCCCGTCCGGGCGGAGGGCGGGTGGGCGAACGGGTAAACAACCGGCGAGTCGCGGAGCGGGGTGCCAGCAGGGGGCGGACAACACCGCCCGCTTGTCGCCGACCACCAAGCACTGCAGGGGAAACTCAGAGCCCGCCACAGCAGGTGAAACCAAGTCCCCTGGATTGCGTAGGGATCCAGTTCAAGAGAACGGCCTCAACAAACAGGTTGCGTCAGATTTTCTTCTTTTGTCTGATCCAGTTTTGGGTTCAAGAAGATTTAAACGAGACTTGCTCTGACCGGAAATTTCCGTTTTGTAAAATGTATGCCTAATGGAGCACAATGCGCACCAAATATCCACATTCATCTAATGTGGAATGAATAAAGGAGCACACAACAACCTTCACATACGATCGGGACCTTTAATAAATGAAAGTTGTTTGCATCTTCCATCGCCCGGGTAAGCTCAAACTATGCGGAAGTAATGAATGGCTCGAGCGATAATGGTTCGTTCATCCTGCCGGGGTCGCGGGGCCGGGCAGGTGCAGGTCGCGCGAGGCACGCCTTCGGCAGATGTTTCCCTGAATGACGAAGGACGAGAGAACGTCGGCCATTATAACGGACCGCCACTGGGTCGAGGGGAGCGGGCAGGTGTCTATTTACAGCACGCAGCCAGCGAGGGACGACACCATCGTCCACCGCCCAGTCAGCCGGCAGGAGCACCGGAGCGGTACACTGGAGCATCCGGTGGGCGACAGACGGCGCGTGCAAGGGATCCCCAGGAGCCGTCACGCTACGGCGGTCGCCGTCACGTCATGGACACGTCACAGACCAATCACAGGGGTGTCACGGTCTGTGACATGCCCGTCACGAAGTTCCTGTCGAGGAATATGCGAACCTTACGCCGGACTCGAGTCACGGACTTGCGACATGGAACGCATAGCGCCGGCCTGACAGGTGGCAGACCCTTTTCAGACAACGCCAACCGCAGACGGGTCACTGCAGCATAAACATTTCCTCTCGTGTCACCTCCTGGAAGGAGGTAGCCCTGCGGCAACCGCAGGATCCCGCTGACCCAGAGAGCGGTCGCTGCTGCTGCATCGTTCCCGGAGCTCGTCCCCTCCCTAGCCGAGACCAATCCGCGATCAGCGTGGGCGCCAGGGGAGGTATGTGAGCAGCCAGGAGAGCACCGAGCCCGGCGGGCACACGGACCGGTCCTACAGCATCTCCGAACCGGCTCAAAACCTCCCTCCAGCCTGCCACGCACCCGCCCCGGACCTGCCGCGGACTAGCACCGAGCCAGGAGCTGTAAGGAACGTCCTGGAGCTGTCAGAAGCGAACCGGAGCGGCGACTTTCGGCCATGAGTCAGGCGCTGTTCGGCTGAACGATAGTGGGACGCACTGACTGAGACGGAGTCGGGCTGATGACGCATTGTGCCGCGACGCTGCGACACGCGTGCGCTGCTGTGCGGATGGTAGCCGCTCAGTTGAAGGCGCGGTAGACCGCACTGAGCGAGGCACTGAGGATTTGCGAAGAATTCCGGGAGTGGGGAGGGCTTTCCGCTCAGCGTCAGCTAGCCCACCCTTCGAAAGACAATGGCGTTGAAACATTGTTGAAACTTTGACAGGTGCCGTTATATTCGAGTGTTTTGCCGCTCTCGGAGTAATCCAACTTCCAGGAAACTTCCGAGATGCCAATGTCATGAAAGGTAGCTGAAGCCCTAAAACTTGTATCCGTGGCCACGCAAAAACTTGTAGCAAGAGCGCTTTTGTCGTGCTATGGTAGTTTAGTTTGGCGGTCAATAGTTTGACAGGTGAATGTTACATAACAGCTCGTGTGATTTTCCCTTTCCTCCTTTTTTCGTTGGCCCGCAGCGCAGTTCTCGGAGCTAAACTAGGGGAGAGTGGGGCAAAGCGGCCACCCGGGGCAAAGCGGCCACCCATCGTTTTAGCCCTTCATAGCTGGCGTTAGTTCCAATTTATGGTTTCCAATTATACTTCTCTTCACGGTCGTTCGAATGAGCCAGACCGGGGTTTCAGGCCCATCACCATTGTTCTGTGAAACACCGAAAAGCATTTCTTGCCAGGTTACCAACTATGTTTACAATTTTTAAATGTTATGTTATTCCATAACCGTTTGGAATTTTTATAAGCGGTCTTGTCCATGCATTGCATGGTTATCGTACGTGTATTCTACCAATTTTAATGTTTTTTACCCCACGAATAGCTAAGCTGGAATATTTTTGTCTCGGACGGTATGCGCGGGGCAAAGTGGCCGGGGCAAAGTGGCCACCCACTAATTGGCCATACGTTGCTTCCATCTGGATAAAAAACATCATTTATATTCAAATGTGTCGTCATGCATTCATCTTGGCCACTTTTCAGTTGCATGAGCTACCAAATAATGCAATTAAATGTTTATTTTCATGAAAATCCTTTCTTTGTTTACCTACAGGTGGAAGATGATAAAGTAAACATCCATCCTCGCTTAACCTTGTCACCATCAAATACCCTAGTCGTACACGAGGAAACTATTTTGTTTCTCATATCGGGACTTGAGAAGACGCCGGTGGCCGCTTTGCCCCAGGGTATGGGGCAAAGTGGCCAATATGCATAGGTTTAAAGTTTTGTCAATATCTTTCATATGTGAACGCCTTTGGAAATAAAACGCAGTTGAAATAAAAGGCAACTTAATAGGGATCACATTGGTATAGAAAGAATCTTTCCAAGTTTAAAAATCAAGCGTTGGCATCGTGAGAAGCGTTAGGGTGGCCGCTTTGCCCCACTCTCCCCTACACGACTTCAGGCGCGGTTTGTCGCCGTCAAGAGGTCATTGTCCTCCACGGAGAGATGTGGCTGAAAGCGACTTAAACCGGCCAGCATCGGCCCGATGATCCGATAAGAGGATTGTAAAACTATGTCTGCAGGAGAGGATGACGGAGCCTGGGCGCCAGAGCACCGCCGTCGGATTACAGAGTTCAGCAGAACGCCTGCACGGGACCAACGAGCCCATGAGCAAAAACTCAGCCTCAAGTAGGGCAATGGCACGAAGATGTGAAAGCCCGTACTTTCAGGAGCAAGCGGTTTATCGCGTCTTGTCCTTCATATAGAATTATGTGAATCAGAATCAGGCCAGGAATAAACCAAATCACACCGGAGAGCCGAACAGTCGCTACACATTGCATCAGAACGCATGCATATCCATGCACCCCCTAAACGAAGACAATTCACCCAGCACAACGCGCACTTGCCCATCCGGGGAGCGAGCAATGGCCGGTCACTGCCCCGCGCTGAGATCTTCGCGGTTCCTTGGACCGGGAAGCCAATTGCGCAGCCCGGAGAGCGGGGGCCCACGAGGGGAGCGGCTCTGCGGGTCCGGTCGGCCGGCCAGAGACCGCGTCAGAAGCGCAGCCTCCCTCTCTGACGCGGACGGTACCCCGCAGTTGGCTAAAGGGATGCCGCTGACCTCCAGTCGTACCTCCCCAACCGCCAAAGGACGGTTCCTCGCTGACGAGATCGTATATGATAGGGGCCACCACCGGAGTCCAATGACTTCGGACAGCGCCGAGTTTACATGCATGGTCTGTGGTCATTGCCCAGTAAGGCTTAGTGTGTTTGGAGGATACTTAACAATCAAAATGAACATAAATCTTATCGAAATGTATTCGCGGAGCGATAAATACGCAACGGATCAGACGGTAGTAGCCAACAGCTTCAGATGTTCGAAAGAAGGGTGATAGATAAAAATAAATCGCAGCTCCAGTGCCGAACGAAAAACAAGTGTCAAACCAAGAAAAATTCAGTTACTAATGCAAAAACAATCTATCTTACCTAGCACGCCTTTATTTGATGCCAGTCGTAGCCATGGCTTTTACCTTACAGCCCTTCAGCCTTCATCCCTCAGCCCTGCTCCTCCCTCCCCTCCCTATCAGACCCCGCCGACCTACCCTTGGTGGGGACGATGGTCTGCGGCGGCGCCGTGATGAGAATCTTCCTCATATGGTGTGGCGGCCCTCCGAGGCCGGGCAGCTGGGTGACCAGCGGGCCCGTCATGCCCAGCTCCAGCTCGTGCCACATGGCGCCGTCCAGGCCCACCACCTCGAAATCGGACGGCTCCATGGCCTGTGTGGGCGACGCCAGCACGGCGTTGGTGGACGGGGAGGGAGCCGACAGCGGCGAGAGGCGCGACGAGGACACCTCGGGCACATCGGGCGAGTCGGCCGAGCTCACCACCAGGCTCTCCAGCCGGTGGAACGTGCCGCCCTTCGGGTCGGACAGCATCATCACAGGCGGCGAGGGCACCAGCAGTAGCTCGGTCTGACCCGAGTCCGGCAGTCCCCACACCTCCCGACAGTCCACAGAAGCGTCCGCCACAGTCGCTCCGTGACTAGGGATGTGGAACCCTCCTCACAGCTCCCAGAGTCAAGCTCCAGTTACGGGCTGGCACGGCGCAGCCTGCCGCCTCTTCTTGCGTGAGTCGGCAGTCTTTTTACAACCTTCCAAAAACGCGCAAGGTCTTTGCCAAAATCAACGTATCGCTCGACTTCCGTCAAGCTCAATCAACACGTTCGCACTTCACACCACAGCGTCTCACCAACTGTCCTCTTCTGTGCAGCGCTGGACAGGTATCCCCCGCTGGCGGAGCGCTCAACACACCTGCTCGTCGTCAGGTCAGGTGCCGACTGCCGGCCGGCGCCCGCTTCCGCCATCTTCTCCTCATGACGTCACCGAGCGGCGTGGCGGCGGAGGCGGCGCGGCCGAGACGAGGGCGGCGCGGCGGCGGCCGGCGGCGGCGGCGGCGCGGCGGCGGCGGCGGCGGCGCAGGTATGTAGAGGTGGAGCAGGAGCGAGGAGCAAGAAGTGAAAGTCCTTGAGAAGACCACTGAATTGGTGAAAAGCGCCTTCAGAAACGGACGAACGCCCCATGGCGCGACGCGGAAATGATTCAGTTCGGTCGGTGCTGATAGGTGTGAAACACTATCGATGATTTCGATGATTTTGGATTTCGGAGTTCAGATAGGAACTACAGCATAATTCAATATAACTGCCTAAAACGTCCTCTTGCTTAAACAGGTATATTTTTCATTTCCGTAATTTGAAACCATGAGACATTAAAAATGCGATACACAAAAAAAAAAACACCTTTTTAACTAAATGAATGCATATGCATTGTCCTCTGAATGACATCGTCGTGAACAGCAAAAACCGACATTTCACAACCCCAAGACCAGGATTTTGTTCGGTGGTGGGTGCTAACGAAAAAAAAAAACGAACCAGTGTGCCCTGTGCAAGGTACGAGATGTGTGCATTTGCGTCCCTTTAGACTTGTGCGAATCGGCGTCGGTAAGCAGAGTCATGGCATCGGCAAATCAGCCTCCACAAAACACTCATATCCAATGACTGACGACTTTTTAGGGTCGGTCAAAGGCCTGCCCTTAGCCACACCTCACAAGAACCTTGATCGGCCAGAACAGGCTTTAGTTCGCCGAGTTCGAAACGAGCACAGCTTGGGCTTGCAGTCATAGTGGTACCTCCTCGCCACTTGATTTCAGCCGAGCGCACTCTAATCAGGTGTTCAGAGAGTTGTTAAATATTGTCTGTCTAAAACCAAATATTTTTTTGTGAACAATTGATTGTGAATCAATTTGCAATTTATCTTCACCAAATCAATTCAAACTTCTGATCACAGTTAATATGTGTGATAAATTACCTTTACCGTACCATAAACTTAACGTTTTGATCATGAAACGACACAGGAATATGCAAAGACATAGGTATCATATGATTGAATCACGGCAAGTCAGCCACAAGGACATCAAATCACAATGCAACCATACGGCATCCGAAAAACGCAACGGGCCAGTAGCACCGAAATCACATCCGTGTCTCTGCATTCTATAAAGAACCGTCCACACCGTTACCTGATATCGAGTCCCGAGCTGGGAACCGGGCTTTCTTCCCACGTCCACCAAACCCAGCCTGCACAATGCCCGGTATCTATCGGTCTTTCAGTGCTCAGTACCGCGGCCGATACATAGTTCTCAAACGATCTATCGGCACGGCACATTCCAAGGCCGTCTGAAAAGCATGGACGCATGGACACGAGGAAGTGACAGAGTGCGGCATTTCTGCGGCGAGTTTCATGTCACCGACGGAGACGGCGTGGGTGTGTGTTGTTTTCCTTTGCGGTCAGGTTAGACACAGAGTGTGAGGAAAATAGTATGATAAACAATGCGTTTATGGTGGTGAATACCAAACCAACCACAGCAAGCCGTTATCAACTTCGACTGGCATGCAAACTTTAGGAAACTGTAGCCAATTTCAACAGAATAAAAGCAAACGATGCCTTCTTTGGCGACGAGCGATGAGCTTCTAAGAAATTAACGTTGTTTCGTTGTTGTAACTATATAGCATGAAGCTGTCTATAGTTATAGAAGTTGCTTCATGGTGTATTTATCAAAAAAAATATCAGCTTCTGCATTAACAATGAAGCGATAGACCACACCAGATGTCCTACAGATTTGTTGACCTACCTTTCGAACAGAAGCACTTCATTTTGCTACGCCTTCCAACCATTCACTTTAAAGCTACCTAAATTTATTCAGATCCACCCTCACTTTCAGTCCTAATGAAATTGATAGCGATGGTGAGACCGATTAGGTGGGACCGACTTGCTGAAGAACAAGTGAGAAGCGCACATTCCCTTTCAATGACAACTTCTTTGGGCTAGTCACTTCACATCATCGAAGGAAAGTGTAATGAAAAAGTGGCAGACGACTGGAATCCAAAAGGTTAGATGGCTTGGAACTGTATCGTGAGTCGCGAACCTCAAAGAACATAGCCCTTTGGCCCTGTCTGAACACTGAACACAGGCAAAGCCGAATAAGGCTCATAGCCGACGTTCATGGGTGCTGCCATCTAGCAAAGCAGCAACCGGCAGGTGGCAGCACCTACAGGGAGGGAACAGCTGAAACTCCAAACCATGTGTGGGCACTGGGCAGGGAAGAGAACGGAATATGTCGACTTTCCCATTGCATTCTCTAGTAATGCATACAGATGTACTGAAAGTACTAACAAGAAACATTGAGCTCCCATGTGTGACTTATTGCAGCAGAGTGCACTTCTGCTCAGAAGAGCTCACATTTGAGCTCCCATCAACTTTGACGCCGGATATACAGCGGCTGCGCATCAGAGGTCCACCAACGTTATTTCCCTTTTTATTGCGGCTCCTTCCGCGGCCAACGATCCCAGATATTGCCACTAGACTGAAACTGCGCAGTTGGACGTCGGCACAGAGCCCAGCAGTTGACTATGACCGGGTGCTTCAAATCCCCGCACCTCGTAACAAATGCATCACAAACCTCTCCCTGCGACCGGACCCACCCATCACGTGCCATCAGCAGTGGACCAGAAGCCCGCCGTTCATAGAACTCCAGCCACTCACCCTCGTACTCCCACCTGCCGCTGGCGCGGCGTGGGCCACAAAGGGCCGGGGCGGGACAGTGAGACAACACAGAACAGACAGACCGGAAACGGACCAGGCAGCCGGACAGTCAGCCGGGCCGGCGGGCGGGCGACCCTCGCGTGCCGTCCCGCCCGTGTCCCCGTACCCCGGCCCGACGGGATCACGCTACATGGGGCAGATAGTACCGGCAGTGTAGCTCACGATTCACTGTCTTTAGAGACTATTACCTATTCTTTTCTAGCTATGATTCTAGCAGAATCCATACCAAAACACCAGGGGACAAGATAAGGTGACAAGCTCTGCACCAATTTACCGGCTCTTTTTCTGTCAGCAGTTGCTGGTCTAGCCCTAAAGCAATTTGAAATGAGCCAGCCAACGTATCTGTCCAGTTTGACATGATTTTGCCTTTGGGTTTGCGTTACAACTTACTATTTGGAGGCAGTCACATCCCTTTGCCGGCTCCCGCTCTCTTCAGGGTTTGTTTCCCAGTCTGACCCCACCCCTTACCGCAAAATGCCCTTCTTTACCTCCATTCAGCATGTCAGTCACCGTCAGCATGTCGCTAGTGAGCCTCGCAGCCTCCATACAAAGCACATGCCGCAGACACATGCTGGCAGGTATCTGTCGCGCACATTACCACCATATGGCAGCACAGGTGGCAGCACCAGCTGTCGTCACATAAGGAAAGTGTGCGGGCGAGCCCCGAGCACGTTTCGCCGAGGGAAGCTAAGATAAAAAAAACACGCGAACGTGTTTCGAGCAAAATGAATGGGAAAGTTTCAAGGTTACTCTTTTCACTCCATTATCGCTTTGTCCGACACCGTATAAAGCTATTCAGCACCAAATTACTTCCGATCAAACCTCTTATTATAAGTCCTTGAGAAACACGTCCGTAAGAAATAACTTCCTCTCCCTCTCCCTAAACACACATGGACAGGCGAATTCGCGTCTCCCCACCGCCACCGGAAACCAGAGACGAGGCGGCGCTCCACAGCCCGCCAACTCCAGCATCGACCAGACTGTCGGCGCTTTTTGTCGGTGGGCGTGGTAAAAAGGTGCCGCCTGTCGCCCCCCCCCCCCCCGCTCTGCCGATCTCGGCCTGCCAAGAGACTAGGGGAGGGGAGGAAAGCTGAGATAACCGCCCTTCCGCGAGCTCAACGGTGCCTGCGTCGAATTTCGGGGGAAGGTTGGAAAATATTTTCAAATGACTTTTCAGGCTGCGTCTCACTGTGGTAATCATCAGTGATCTGTCGATGGGCCATTACATAACGAGTTTGGAAGATGAAATTATGTAAGGATGTGGACGTCCTCAGTCCACATGCTACTGGATGCATGGTTTCTGATGCAAGTTCAGCAAACTAATGAGTCAGGCGACTTCAATTTGTATACTTAATTTTCTTTCCAAAATGCCTACAACAAGAACAGAAACAACTAAATGCCGAAAATCTGCAACTTTGTCCGACAGGTATCTAAATCGGGCAAAGCCTATAATTTGGCCGCAGATTAAACTGAAGCATTGATCTCCCGCAACCAATCACGCTAAGCAATATTGAGGATGAGCAAAAAAAAAACATCGGCCCAGCAGCACAGCAAAAGCGTGCTGTTCAGAACAGGTTGTCAATAAACATGAGCAGCTGCAGAGGCCGATGAGGTAGCTCTCCGAACTCTGATCAATAAGCGGCGCGCTGTGGCGGGCCTCAGCGACAGAGAAGCGCCTTACGACCGGTTAAGGTCCGCCTCTGCCACCCCAGCTCAGCGATTCAGACGCCGACAAATATGGACAGGCGAGACAGGCCGGGTACTGCGCCCGGATGCCGCGAATGCCGATTGTCCTGAGACTGATGGAGCCGGTTTTTGGGCGTCCGGGTCACAGCGAGGATGATGTGAATTAAAAGCGTCTCCCTCGAGATGGCACAAAGCTGTGTAGGGCCTCACCACCAGTGAGCGCACGGTCGAACGACTACAGTGAACTTAACTCGCTTCTTGCTTCTACTGGAGGATGAATCGAGATTCAAAGCCGAGTACGAGCCCGTGTAGCACCCAAAAAGTCACTGCTCTTTGCTGTTCGTAAACCTGACGTGATTTTCCCCATCCTTTATGTAGTTCACTTCTGAGTATGAGATTCACAACTCAACCATTCGGTCCAGTGCGTTTTGAGTTCTCTCATTCACCAATGTATGATAATGTGGTAAGGTCCCTCCTATTACCCGGCAGTAAGAC